TTATGGCATAAAGAAATGTGAAACATCTCCTCGGGTCAAACATTCATTGTTTAATCGTGATCAAAACATAACGGAAATTAAAACGAAAAAATTGAATTAAAGGACATGAAAGCGGGTGCATTGGTTGCCGAAGGGTCCAAAATGTTGCTAACATAACCTTTGTATCGTGTGAGGTTTGCGGGAAACTCAACGAGAACGTTACGCAACACGGCTTCGTGCGGCATTAATGGTCCCACATTTACCGAGAGCCCTCGCCCTGTAGGGACTCTGTCGTCTGCCGAACGAAAAACTCCGGGCCGGAAATTACACGCATTTTGACTCTCTTTATGACATCCGGGGAGAAACATAAACCTTATGGAGCTTTAAGTAAAATATTAAAAATCACAACCTGGAAAAATGAAATGATAAATATTTAAATTAAGACCACAAAATACTTGCAACTGATATTGAGAGTTCGTTTGACTAATGATGTATGAAGTTCATGGTTGAATAAGATGATATTAAATGGAAATTGTTTTACATGTCCTGAATATAAGAAAATCTGATTGTGGAAACCTTGTTAGCTTAAATATTTTATATTCGCCAACAATTCTTTTCCATTCACTATTTTCTGAATAAAACGGAAAGGAATTCCCATAAAACGAATGACTAAGGCAAGTTTTATTTACAAGTCAAGAAAAAAATAAAAAGCATCGTCATTTTACTTAAGACAATAAAAAGCAGTTGGCAGGCGACCTGTGCTTGATTGTTGGATGTGATATACCTTTCTCTTTCTAGACGGTCTTTTCTCCTTACATCAATTACGAGACAGAGTGACAGATCGAACACAAAACCAATAAACCCGAGAAAAACAATACCGACCACACACCCTATCGTCTGCCACAAACCTATGGCGGTTCAACTTTTCGGACTCTGTGCGACTGTCCGGAGCCAGCAGACGACCGCTAGGTGTCGAGTTGTCTGCACGATGACTTCATTCCATGTACCTTTCTTTGGACCAAGTTGCGGAATGGCGCTGCGCCACATTGTGGGGACATCCCAGTTCGGCCTTGGCCCGAGGCAACTGGGGTGAAGAGATTGTATGACTCGTCACGAGTCCTTTGTTGAGCACACCGTGAAAAGTGTCTTGACCAGTTATAGTGCGAAATACGACATATACAGGGCAACAGATCCTGATGTATTCCCAGGTTATATGTAATTCAACGTATTTAAATATTGTTACTGTGCAGATTTGGAGGGATTAAAATGTTCATCTACGGTTTCCGATTTTTACGACTTTTTTCAAACAAGATCTATTTCTATGACATTTCATACAAAGAGTTATCGTGTCGCATCTCTAAAATCACCAAGCTTTGGAATCTCCCATGCTCCAGAGCGCGTGGTTTATGTGAAATTTATTTACTTTGTTCCTATATTCATTTGAACATAGATCAAAAAGTTATAAAGGAAAGCCATTAAGACTAGGCCAACAAACACTTCAAATCTTTATTTTCTTCTCTTGCTTCAGTACACGGTTTGAAAGGGACCCAGTTAACCGTTACAGGCCGACAATCGGCCTCTCTTGACTGAGCCAAGATCGGCGGTTACAGCGATGTAAAGCAAATATTTACCTTGTCTTATTATTAAGAAACCCATATTTCCATCATTTGAATGACTTCTCCGCGGAGCGAGGAGATGTAACGTTCAGCCCCTACGGTTCGGTCGGGTGTCAGGTTCAAAATCCGAAATTTCGGGCCATTTGTTGTTCCCGATGGGGCGTGAGTTTGTGCTAGAAGGCTGGATACAGGTCGTAAATATGGGGAGAAAAATCGCTAAATCATGAACCCGAGACTTTGACTTAATTGTGTGATAATTCAGTCCTCCTCATGAAGATCCTGTGTTATTTAAATTCTGATTTATTTGATCCCTGTTTAAAAATGAAAGGCTTTGTTTTGATGGTTTAATGCGGCATTTAAATTTCTAAAACACATGAAGTTTTCCGCTTTTATTCTTATTGAAAAAAATAAAAAATGATAAATTTTCAACTGTTATCAATTCAATCGAATCTTGTCATCTTCTTTTAAAAGAGTGATCTCTCTAAAAAACAAAAATGAAAATAAGTGTCAGGCACGAGGAAGAATTTATAGTCATTCGATGATTTTAAAAAAAGTAAAGGAATCTCAATTTCACACTATCTAAATATTGTTCTTAATTTTAATATGTTATGTCAATAATGGAGTAAGAGAAACAACTAACCATTTGTTAGAAATATTTAAATTTGAATATTAACCAATTTTATTCCGATTTTACCTCGACCGATTACAATTCGAGGTGTCACTGCAGTTAAAAGTTAATGGACATTGAAGGTAATTGTTAATGTAGGATACTCATAACATTATTCTATAATGAGGATTCCAACACGTTGATGAGGCAAAAGTAAACAATTAATTAAATTGTATGGTATTCATGAATCCTAGGCATAAATCAATAAAATTTTCTATTTTTAAGTTCACCTGTGAAAAATTATCAACTAAATAATATATGCTGAAAATAATCTGTTGTGATACTTGAGAAAAACACCAGTGATTAAACATGATATATCGGCCGGATTTTTAAATAATATGTATAAAAATTGCTATCCAAACAAAATACAGTGATATCAATTTATCAGCAGGGTAACATATGATCCCAACTGAAAAGAACATGTGAAGAAATATTTGATATTTAGCAAAACCGAGCTTCAAAAAAGAACTGTTTTCCCTTCCTCGATCAGGCATTGTTCTACTTCGTTAGGAAGAAAAGGCAAAAGAACTAGCGAGATTTGAAGGTAGCAATTTCGTATCGATTCAGCTTGCAATCACAAAAGTCACATTTCTCCTTTTGGCCCTTTGTTCAACAAGCTATAATTAAAGACCGGAAAGTATTCAAATTTGGTTAAGAAAACGTATTGAGCGAGGACCGTCATCGTATTGTAATACGCATAAGAAATCAATTCTTTTTATCGGAAAAGAAAATATTTGTCAAGATTGAAGTTTTGATTTTAAAAGCAATATCCGTTATTTTTAGTAAGTTTATTTTCTATGAGTGTAATGAATAATGTGATTATCCTTACAGAGAAATTAGGGTAATAGTGTATTATTTCATTATGATATATTTATTTAAAATATTTTCCATTCGCAATCTATTAATTTATAAAATTGTGAAAATACCATCTGTTTTGTTTTGGTTTGGTAATACATATACATGTACTTAGATTGAGATTAAGTGATACGTTGTGTAGAGTATAAGGAACACAAAAATTTAACGTAACACCCCCCCCCCCCCCCACACACACACCCAACTACGCACGAAGAACATTAACATTTTTATTAATGCCTAATAAAGCTGCAATTTTTAACTCAAGAAAAGCATTGTCAACCGATCGAGGGTCATCAAGGATTTTTTGGAGGTGAGCGGCATTCAATGTTACCCTCAACCACAAACAATAATTATTATATTTCATTGAATGTATTTCCGTAATTGCATATATTTCATGCATGTAGTGATAAACATTTTCTGACTGGAATCAAGGGGAACATGCGTTTTGTCGTACCAAAAACCAAACTGTTTGCCAAAGACTGTTGAGCTGCAGACAAACATTTTGGTTCGAGGGTCGACAAAACGCATTTTGCTCGAGAAAAGTAAATTAAAGTTTTGTAATACCATTTACTTGTTTCTGACATATTGTAATGAAAATCTCGTATAAACTTGATTAATTTCGTGAAGTTCTGTCTTACATGTACTCCAAAGTATGCAAATAAGATATAGCTACATTGTAACCCCGCCCACCATGTGACGTGAGCGGTCCAACATCTCACTCTGCGGTCAGACATCGATTATTTAGATGGTTGCTCTTTAGATCACTTTTTAAGTGTATAATCATATGCCGGTAGGCAATAATTTTAAAGGTATATAACAATATTTTTTTCAACCATTTCTCAAGTATTACAATAAAATAATATTTCAAGCGTTTATATGCAATGCTAAAATTACTCGAAATATCTAAAAATTTAATTATCTCGTGTAATGCCACAGAATGTTCTAAAAAATCTAATAACACCTATTCTTAACTTCATCTAGTAGAAAACACCTAAATATATATAGCATTTGGGGGGGGGGGGGGGGGGGAGAAGACAAGTACTTTAGTTCCGAATGCAAGGAGTAAAACTTTTTCCTATTCAGTAAGTAAAGTAAGTAAATTATTTATTATAGTGACATGTGTATTGTTAGAGTAATGCAATATATTTTACAACAATAAGTTTAGTTTCTTACACACGGCCCAAAGGACCTATATGTCACTGTTAATATTTTAATTTATATATACAAAGGCACATAATGAAGATAAATGATATTAGAATATTCTTTTTATGAAGTTCTGGCGAGTTTTAAAAGCATCAAATATAAAGTTTGCAGATTGTCTGGGAAATTTACATAAAATATCCGTAATTCACGCTTTTTATGTCGATCTTTTACATTGCATTTCAAAAACTTTTTTTCATGGTTTCTCATAGTTTTCCACAGTTCTGTTAGCTCGTTGTTCCAGTATTCAAACTACATGTCAGAATATCATTTTTTGTTTGTTTATTAATTAATGGAGGTACGCATGTACATAATTAAAAAAAAAATATCAGAAATGGAAAAAAATGTCTCTGCTGTATCCAGATTTCTAATTTGTATTGTCTGGCTTTCCCATTGTATTTCACTTGAGGTCAGTGTATGACGTATGGCTAACAACTACCATGTAAATGCTGGTATTTAGAACTTGTTAATTAGTAAATTTAATTAAATGCAGAACGAGGTCCGTCTAAAAATAACTACATTTTATATAGTTAATCCATAGGTTTGCCCTTGATATAGGAATGATGAAACCTGGGTCAATAAAATTTATTTTGATGAGTTATAGAAAAGACTAGAAAATATTTACCGGTAAAAATAAGAAAAATGCCAGCATTTCTTTCAAACTAGAGAAAAAGTAATCCAAGTTTGCATTAAAATTACTTTATTAATTTAGTCACGGTTTCACCGCACGTATACATGCACATGATATAAGATAAAATCTTTATACATTCAACATATTAATGTTAAATCGAGAAATATGACAGTTTAAGGGAATGAAGTAAAAAAAAATCATTAAAAACAAGGAAAATTTGTACATGTGACAATATAACGCTAAAATTATACATGACGAATTGAACAACACAATTATAAATTATGCCAACGAAAAGAAAACGAAATAGCAATATGAAAAGAATTAGAAGAACATGAAATACAGTAGGTTTATATTCAAATCAATGCGATATTTAACTAAAATTAAAATCTGATAAAACGTCATGCGTTTCTCTAATACACACTTCATATTGCATTTTTCTTTTCAATGTTTACTGGCGATATATACAGTTTGTAAATTTTACTTATAACTTAAATGGACATTCAAATCTTTCCTGACCCGAATTCGATTCCGGACTGCTCTACTTAGTCTGGAACGAGGCAGCACTGTCACATGACCGAATGTTCAACCAAACGGCGCGGAATTCAAACGTTGCAAACATCTTCGTCAAGTGGGCAGTCCATAAATATTTGACCACATCAACATAATGTTTACAACACAGTTAGGGAGTATCACAAGCAGAGGGGCCTGCCACAGAATTCCCGAGCACTATCGGAATGTACCGAGGCTAGAATGTTAGTTCTAAGATTTAATACTACAGCTTTCATGTGAGACAGGATTGTTGATTCATCATAGGCTGTGTTGAGTACCAAGCGGAATGGTAATGAGACATAGGGGGCATACCGGAACTCATCACTGACGTCATAGGTGGCATGCCGGACATTGGCATATAAGACTGAGATGAGGTATAGTTGTTGGCTGTGTGTTCGTTCCACTGAGGCTCGTGTTCTGGACTTACAGATGAAGCAGGAGAAATCATCACAGAATTGTGTTGATTTTGCTCTGGTGTTTCCATTTTAAGTCCATTGGGAGGGTGATGCACATGAGTGTTATGGCTATGCCCTGATGGTGTCGGTGGTGAGTGTTGCTGGGAAGGTGACTGTGGTTGCATGGGTTGCTGGCCTTGGGTTGGTGACGTCACCGGTGTCGGAGTCTGCTGACCACCTGCCTGCATAGGATTCCCGCCCTGTTTGATCATTTTCTTGGCTTTTGAACGACGATTTTGGAACCAGATTTTAACCTGAAACAGAAATAAATAACATTAAGATGGGTATTTTCATAATCATTTTCTTTTTTTAAAATATCCCGGATGTGATTAAGAATTGATTCTCTGAAATGTGGAAATTTATATGCTAGGTGCTTTGTTCGTACCCCGGACCGCGGAACGTGTCAGAATTTAGTCAACCAATCAGAGAGTTGATCGACAACTTCTCATTTCCGCGACCTTCTGCTAGGGAAACATAAACTTGAAACAGGGAGAAACTTTGTTAATAGATCGGATCTTATCTCGTATACTAAATCAATATCGGGTCTCTTTTGATCAGGGTGTGGGGTTAACTAGTAAACGTGTCTAACTGGGCATGCGTCACTTCACAATCAGAGAAGATGCACCTAATCACCCTGGGGCGATGCCAGCCTCTCTGAGTAGCGACAGGAATTTGAGGCCTCTTCTAATGCCTGTTTTCACTTCACAAATACAATGAAAACCCACCTCAAAAATTGTTTTACGTTTAATCAAGCTAGGTATTTCAATATCTTACTCTATCACCGGTTGAAAAATAAACTGAACTTTAACAGCCTCGTTTACAGCGTTTAATTTGGTATATTACTTGATGATATAAATTAACCTATTTAGTTACATAATGGATTCATTTGATCTTGAGTATGTTTGCAGTTTTTCATCATGAAATACAAAAAAAGGGTTGATCTTTTAGGAATGATTTCAATAAGAATTTTATTAATTTCAATCTTAAATTGTAAATAAACTACAGTATTGTAACTGTGAAATTGATGAAAAAAAAAATGAATCTTTAATATTGGGTAGGTGGACTACTCGAATGGAACACACAAATATGAATTCATTTAGCAAAAATCTTCAAAAGAATGCAAAATAATAATTCAGATTTTTAATTATATCCTTACACATTGAAGGCTCCATTATGAAATATTAACATACAAGAGAGTAGTTGTGCGCCTTTTTGTAAACGGTCGGGTTTAAGGCCTGAGAAAAGACGCTGTCGTGGTGAGTTAGGGGGTGGGTCCCCATTCAAGCGCCCTTGTTCAGCCACGGAGAAGAAAAAGGGGGCGGTGACGTGCCCGAGGCGAACAAAGCTTTCATAAGGTTCGGGTATGGGCTACTCAATAAAGCAGATGTACATTTTGTTCACCCTTTAGTGGAATTAAAAAAGATATTTACTTAGAGTAGATTTAGATTGAAAAAGTTTTCATACGTAGACCATTTTATTAAATTTTCTGCAAGAGTTGATGCGTCATTCTATTATGAGAAAATTCTAACGGAATTCTATTCGACAGTTTTTCAAGACATAGAAATGCAAATGGTAAACATCACTGAGAAGGAAAGGGTGTCTGTTAGTCGAGGAAAATTGAAAAAAAATGTATAATTTTTTATCCCAAAATTTAGCGTCAAGGGTTCAACATTACAGCGCAAAAGTTTTGATATAACAAATTGCAAAATGCTCCTTTTTGGCACATTTATGGTTTTAAATATTATCAACTTACATTAAATATTTTTCTTTATGTTTTCTAGTTGCAATAAAAAACCGAATAACAATAGCAGGGTACTATATCATGATAAACTAGAACCAGCACAACAAACAAGCATTCACAAGATTTTTTAAGGGAAAAAAAGTAATTTCTTGAATATAAGATTTTTTAAAAAACTCAATTTACTCAAGTCATTGAAGTATCCGGGTATCTGGGATTGTTTTCTTTTGATTTTATCGTATATTGCAATAAAAATGAGTTGACTTGCAAACATCAAATATTCGAATTGGCCTTTCCAATTTATTTGCGTCTATTCTGTGCTATGGGTAGGTGAAAAACCCTCTTGGTTTGAAGATCTTATCATTCGATTCAGTCATTCGAAACGCAGATCACACAGGAGAGATTTTTTCTTTCTTGCCGTCAGGACATTCAGACTTGGTTTTGTCTTTTATAATAGTGTCAAACTCGGAACAATATGCTCCTAAAAATAGTCTGATATATTTATTTAATTTTTTTTCCCTGTAAAATATTTGACACCTCGCATGTGAATATATTTTCGTTTTAAATGATTCTCTAAATCTTTCTAGACCAAGAGATGTCTAGAAACAAAATGTAGAATTTAGTTTATTTATTTTCGAAGATTGAAAGTAGTTAGGCATCTTTATAAGTGAATTTTCTTATATCATATTTTTCAATCTCAATTAATTTAAATTATTTTTACAAATATTATAATAATTATTATTTTTGAATATTCTAAAGAATGTCGAATAATACATATAAATAAATGTAAATTAGATTGTTCTGGTTTAGTTTTTTTTTTATTCTACATGCATCACAGTCAATGGCGGAAGGTATTAAACGTAAAACCTGATAATTATTAATTAAACTAAATTTGATAATTAAGAAATGAATATGTTTGTAATGTATTTTTTTTTTTCGAAGAAAAAAAGCATTTAATCAATATATTTGCATTATCAAAATATCTCTCTAAATGTTTAGTATATCAACAATTTATGAATAGACACAAAAGTTATTCGCCAGCCTCCTCAATTATTCACAAAATCAATTATACACTCGATAGTTTTGTCAACTGCACGGCTTTCATAGTTTACAATAATGCCGTGTTTAACTAAGTTCTATGAAACTACGACAACTGTATATAGAGGAAAGAACGGACAACTTTTCGTCGACAATTGATAATGTAATTGGCGTTTGAGCAGATCTTGTTTAAGTTAGGGAATTACAACCACGATTTACAATACCATTTACGGACTACCCTTTCATGAAAGAAATTATCAGAGAAATTGTCGAAAAAATGTGACTTTTTTTCAATGTCAATTTAGTTTGAAGAAGAGATCTCTTCAATAATTGCATTTTAATATGACGATATTATTAAATGTTAGCCCTTTATTGTGATAGTGTGTGATTATTATGTTAATCTTCACTGTCGTTAATGGCTAGTTTCACGGTAGTTTTGTGAAAAAAAATTAGCCAATTTGATTCGCTAGGTATGAAATCCGCCGAGCTTCTTGTTTGCTTTTGGCTGTAAGAAGAAACCGATATGTGTAATTTTTGTCGATAATGGAAAATTTAGATCTAATCAGCATCCTTAATTCTTTAACACAAGAGAATTAGATCTAGTGGTGTAAATAAGACATCAAACTAGAGGTTTTATTTCTCTATCATGCAATACAGAATACACATCACACAGTCCGGATTAAACAGGGAGATTCACCACGTAAATCGGCGATCTCAAAGAAAAGAATCTTTAAAGAGTTAAAAGCATCGTTGAAACACCTTTTGAAAAATATTAAACCACTGACTTTATGAAGTGCTATGTTCATCTTTTGAAAAGCCCTAGCAGCTTTTTGAATAAAAAATGGCTGTCGAAATTTTCCATTTAAATGGAAAAATATAAACTTATTGACATGAGCGCTATCTCTTGTCTCCGGTTTTTCTGATCATTCACAGCGAGGGTCCATTCATCAATAATGTCCGAATAGTCGGGTGGGAGGGCAGCGGAAACGAGCCGCTTCAAATCACACTGACACCGGACCCGCCCATGTCTTGTTGAAAGGGGCTCCGTCTGGGTATTCCAGACCCATGCAGGTTTCCCCAACATCTGTCGCTCAACATATGGACAGCGATTAAATAGTTATTCCAAAAGTCTTTAATATTATTATGATTTTTTTAAAAATAAAATCATTTATATCTTCATATTGGAATATTCGGGCATTTTTTTCAAAACCAGTTTTACTTTGAACTTTTTACGTCTGTTCTATTTGTCTCAGTTTCATGTCTCGGGTATTTTGACAATTTTTCACAACTTTGGCGCAAAGAATGTTTTTGCTTCTACCCGCGAAGAGCTAGCACCTCTGTATTTGGTGTTGGTCACACAATGGGACCTTAACCCAGGAGGACTGTGTGAAAAGTCTCCTAACGCTCCCCCGGCGTTGTGTGCTACAAACGAAACTGACAAAAAAGGATCCCGTGTTCACTTTGAAACAAGACAGGAGGGTTTTGTCGAACGACAAGTTGGCGCCGAGTAGCCGACTTCCCATCAAATTTTAGGTTTACTTTTAAAAATTGAATTTTGTAAAAAGATCTGATGACGATGTACCCTACGAGACGCAACATAAATGTTTGAGGGAATCAATTTATGATTTTTTGAAGTGATACGATGTGTATATTTACTCTCGTTTTGTTCTGTTGCGATCCATGTGCAACAGTTTAAAACGGAATCAGTGTATTCTGAATGCAGAACTAGACATCTTGATTTTAATCGCATGTATTTAATGCTTTGTAAATACGACTCTCTAATGAGTTAACGCATGTATGATCAATACCCGATATTCTAAATTAGACGGCTAAAAATTCGATCTGCTTAATGGACGTTTTGCGAGGAAGTGATAAAATACCATCAATCTAGACACTTACAATTGCCAATTTTAAAAAGTAATAAAAATTGTATTTTAACTTAACAATTAAATTTGATTTATTTTTATTTTATTTATCTTTTTTTTTTGAATTAAAAAAAAAATTGTTATATACTTTCAATAAAACTTTTTTCTTCAATGTTACATTTTTCACTGGGCGAGTTAATATGAGATAAATTGTTACATTTTTAATGATGAAATGGGAGTTGGATTAATAATACTCTCCATTTTAATTTTTTTTTTGGAACGCTGAAATAAATTTTTGATCTCGGTTTTGTCTGAGCTTGTTCTTTACCTCGCGAATTCACAAAAAAGACAATAAAAAAAAGAAAGATTCCCATTCAAACACACGTGTGAAAGCTGTTAAAATACTACATGGAAATTGTAGATTTATGGAAAAATCGGATAATATAATACTTTAGATATTAGCTATAGTTTTAGGAAGCGTTGGTCAGGTGAGCGGGTGTACAAGACACATAAAAGAAAACCTATACCCCACAAATCAATGCTAGAGTTTACTTTTACCCCATTCTCTTCAAGAAAAAGAGTTTTATGGGAAGAGAACAGAGTCGTTGGTTTAATTATTCATGTGAGAAAAAAAATCAACATTTCACAACCATGCATAGCTCTAAGACAGTAAAATAATACCGAGTTTGTGTAAAACGATCTAAAATGTTAAAATAGATACCCCTCTCGCGGCATAGTCAACGGGGATAATAAAAACTAATTTCAGTACGTGGATTGTGTGTGCGAAATTTTATATTGCAAATAACAGAGGAATTGAGTTACATATGATCCCCCCTTCCACACATAAAATTCAGGTAGGGCCGGCGCGTTTGGTTTGATGTGTTTGGGAAACAGTCTCACAGGTGCTGCTTGCAACAATGTTTAGAATATAAAGTGCAGATTTGCGAATTTTAAAATGCTATAACACCTTGCAATTTCTTGTTAAGTACTTGAGGTGATGTTTTAACAGCACATATATCATGGACTTGACGAGATAGGCTGATTCTTTTCGATAGAACTTCGTACCTTCGTTGGATACAAGATATGGTTTTTCGGAATGATTCATCAATAAGCTATTTACTCATTGTGCTATTAAAGTATTTTTTAAATAGAAATAATTTTTTATAGATTTTTTTTTTCATTTTGATATTTAAACATTCTGAGGGACTTTAATCAAAATATGATTTTGATTTATTCGAGCAATAAATATCTGTTTTGGGAGAGAAGTTTTTTTTTCCTTCCAGACATTGTGCGTTTAATAGAAAGAAAAAAAAACAATTCTGTCAGTTGTATAATGCATAATATATAAAAAGATCTCAGATCTCAGATATTTGATTCTCGCAGACATTCCGCAAATCTTAGAATTCCCAGATTTTTTTTAATCATAAAGTTGTGACAAAGTATACATATATATTACATATTCCAATTAATATATTCCATAAATAGTTTATTAGAAAAAAATCCACTCGTATCAAAAAGTATTTTTAATACCTACTAAATCGTTTTTTAAAATCAATTTTAAATATTTTTTATTTTTTTTTCATTTATAAAATTATTATATTGATGGCTAAGCTAGAAATTTACATTTAACTTTCTTTCTATTAGACATTCATAACAATAGAATTTAATTGTATTGTTTTCCTAAAAAATAAACATTCAAAATATAATATCACTATTTGTTAATTAACATTTTTATTATTTAATTTGATATTTTTTTTAAACACCGATAAAATAATAATTTAAGCTTTTCAGTCGATAAATAATAGAGAATCGTTCCTAATACATTAATTGATTTCCACCAAAGGTGAAAGATGATTAGATTTTTATTCACATAATATCATTTCCACCACTTTCTTTGTAAACCTAACATTTGACAAGGTCTTTATTTGTATTAAATTGATTTTTTATTTAACCTTTAGTATCTAAATTAAGAAAAAGCCTCGTTTTTGGTGTAAATTAACATAAAGACTGATATTACCATCTTGAAAAAAGTTTTGCTTGCTCTTTACCGCATCAGGGTTTTTTTTTTTTTTTTTTTTTTTTTTTTTTTTAAAGGGAATCTATGTAGGTATTACATGTAGACATTTTTCCCGATCTTTTGAAAACCAATGTCTAATTCTGAAGAAATACAGAAACTGCAGGTATAACTTAAATACAAGTAGCTGCACAAAGGGCGAGAAAATTCCGGATGAAAAAAAAATCCTTTTCTGAAGTTTTTTAACAAAGTTTGTAGTCAGTTGGGAAAAGGCAAACGGAATTATTTTAAGTTTCCCTTATTAAATAGTGCCTCAAGATAAAGTCACAATTTTACATCAAAAAATAATATTATAGAACATACTAGATCTAGTACATTTAAACATTTTAAAGATGAATTTGCAAACATCCTACAATAGTTTATATTTTTTAATTAATTAATAATGTAAACATATCTGTACTTGATAAATAATAAATGCATGATTTATAACAATACATTGTGCATGTAATTAGATTTTCAACATCTTGTTCATGGACCAAAAAGACTGTTTACTGACTTAATGAAAATAAAAACAACCATTTTTTTTTTCAAATTCACTTTTGCAATTTCATAAAGGGTATCAACTGTCGTGTCTAACCAGACGCGCTCGCAAGGTGCACTAGATATAAACAGATATATGTGCGTTGACACGCGAATTCTTCAAGTTCACGTGTTTTTAGGATGAAATCGGGTAGATTTTGATCTGCGTTTTGCCAAGAGAAACCTGGTACCCTATACGGTGTCGAAGAGTGAAAGGGGTCAAAACGTACACACCACACGGAATATGTCTATAAACAAACCCTGGGCCGGGGAAACCTATTGATTTACGTGTGGCTAATTTGATACTGCACCGCTAGACTTTAAGGAAGATAATCACAAAATAAAAGTACAAAACAGGACTTTATACCTGAAATTAACCAGAGTATTTCGTGGGGAAAAAAATGTAAACAATAAAATAAAATAATTAAAATTGAGAACTCCAAAAAATGCACTTTTCTTTGCAGGCAAAGTATTATTATTTGTTAAATTTCGTAATTTATTTGCACTTTATTAAAATTTAAGGCCTTTTCCCTGAAGTTTGTAACGTATTATATAAATTCAATTTATTCATTAGCATATTCTTTGAATTAGTCAATTATTTCAATTATCAAGAAAATTAATGTAAAAAAATAATAATTTAAAACCGGTGGTGGACGAGGAAACAAAACAACGTCAGATTATTGGACATATTCATGAACACGTTTTTCTTAATTTTTTTCTCACACAAAACAATATTGGCCAAGAGACTTCCAATCCAATGAAAGGTGTAAGACAAGACACCCCGAACGTCCCTATCTGAACATTTATTTTGATGAAGGGTCCCGAGGACATACGCCCTATACATTAAAAGAGAGACATAATTGGTAGGTATGTGGCCTATTTGTGAATACCCCCGGGGTGAAAGAAAGAAAACAATATCTGATAAGAAATAATCTGTTAAAATATTTGTCTTATTTGTTTGTACAAGTCTTTATTCCGACTAAATTGAATCGTAAGGCTGATAATTAGAAGATAATTAACGGGACGGATAGCTACGGGCATAGTTGGATTTTCTAACGTCATATGACTCAACTTTTGAAAAAAAAATTAGAAATTACTTTTCTTCTGTTTTGAATAATTTAATAATAAAAACTTCACATTTTGTTTTCGTGATCAGCATGTTTTTAGTTTCTTATTTCCGTGTTTCCTCAGAATGACATACTTTTTAGCAGAATTCTACAATGTCAATCACTGTTTATCACGTATTATGCGAAAAGTCATCAGTGCATTGATATTTGTTAAAAATAAGCATGCTTTCTTGAAGTAATACAATGCTTCAACACATCTAAGTAAGCAAATATTACAAGTTTGAACTTAAAGGATAAGTTATTTCTATTTCTCGTGAGTCGTGTTTTTTTTTTTATAGCTATACGTATGAGATTCGACAATCTTAGAATAGAACTAAATCAATCCTTTTGACCATAACGAAATTTAATGCAACAATAGATAATACTGGGCAACCTTTTGAATTTTTCTTTTATTATAAATAAATATATCAAAATGCAAGTTTCCAAAGTATTTTTAGATTTATCTACCTGTGTCTGAGTGAGCCCAAGGGAAGCGGCTAGTTCTGCACGCTCGGGGAGCGCCAAATATTGAGTTCGCTGGAAACGTCTGTTAAGTTGCTGCAGTTGAAGGCTAGAATAAATAGTTCTAGGTTTTCTCATCTTCTTGCCTTTTCCATTTATTCTTAATTCCTCCATTTGGGACTTATCTAAAAAAAGTCAAAGCAGAATTAAAAACAAAATTCTGCAAGATGAAGTTAGTTTATGCGAAAGATCGAGTTGCAACTGAATCAATTCAAAACGTTGATTTTTTTTTATTTTTCAATGGGAAACAATATTTGATCTGACAGTCATCCGATTCAGCGGGAAAAAATATGCCATGGCAGTAAATTAAACGCATGCAGTGATATTAGAGATGGGAATAGACTCCGCTTTACGCAGGATCTCGCAGACGTTTGTTCCAGGCCGATTTTCCAGCAGACGAGAATACCATCCTGACGACGCCGACTGCAAGCAGCCCCGGACAAAATGCGACACGGGACCTCTTTGTTACGGACAAAAAAAGAATGTTATGCATTTTTTCGTGTACTGAAGCGATTCTTTAAGTGCCTGTGTAAACTGTTTACTTTTTCACAACCTAGAAGAAAACAAGCGTCGATTTGCTGACAGAGACCGATGTGGCATTATAAACCAAGACCACACGATGACAAGATCTTTTTGTACGAGATTTCGTCTCCCGTCGCGCTCCTTCTCAAAGTATCAGCCATTTAAATGAACATCGCCCAAAAATTCACAAAAACAAGTACATAGTGTCTTTTTATACTAATATTTCCAAAAATTATTTTCTAAAGTATTTTTCACTTCATTCAAAACTAATAAATTGAGTTTAATAAGTTGTGCAAAAAAGCAACGCAATCCACGTGTAAGAGGAAATTAAGGCAGTTGATAATTTGGAAAATTGCAACACGAATATTAAAAATGCCAAAGTTGATATATTTACTTTTTCCCTCCATAATATTATGTCTAGAAACTACTACAAAGTATCGATAAAGTAAATTTATAATTGATAAATAGGCCAATAAATCAATTAAGAACATATAAAACATTAATCATATATTCTTTTGAAGCATCATTTAATGTTGTTATATTACAGAAAATAATGTATATAACTTATCGCAGACAATTGATATTTTTTTTAAAAATTAGCACTTGCTGGTATGTGAACAAGATACGGAGATGTATGATATTACAATACAAGCGAAATTTAAAAGAAATGAAATAATAAGCGTAACAAATAAAATTCAAAGTTTATCAAGTTATTATGAAAATGCTTAGTGATGGAAAAAAAGGTACTCACCTTCTCTGTTTGGAGAAGGGCTCTGGTAAGGCGGCATGGAGAAAGGATGTCCCGTCGGAGGGTTATAGGAGGAGGGGGACATAGGATTCATGTGGAAGGGGTACCCGAGTGGTGGTCTGGCCTGTGGGTTAGTGAACACACTGTCCCCGTGCTGGGAGGGGTGATGGTGAGGCTGATACGATGAGCGTATGGGGTACGCCGGGTGCCCCATCCCCATCCCCTGCTGTTGGAGTTCCATGAAGGCTGACTTGCCGGACATTTCTTGTTCCAGGCCATGGCCGTCGACATTCCCCACATTAATCATAACTCGTCCTTGTTAGTATCACAAATAAAAGTCCTCCAAATTAAGTCCAATTTCTGTAGATGCAAAAATTAAGGTCTATTAGGTCCCGATTAAACTGTTACCTTAATATCAGCACATTGAATCTAGTCGGGTAGACCCAAATCGCTATTACGACCCACTTGGATTGATAATAAGGCAATATTTCCTTTTCAACTTATTAAAGGTAATTTAGGGATAAGTATTCAAAGAGGCGACTGATCGTACACCCTAAGTACACGGACTCATCTCAATATTAAATGCTATTACCGTCATCCGTACCCTGTACTTAAATCACAAGAGACGTCCTCAATAGAGCCGAGTAGTTGTCACCATTCCCTAGCTCCGCCCCTTAGTCACAGTGTGGGTTTTCATTGGCTGACAGCGCTGAACTTCGATTCACAAGAGGCAATCAGCAACGCCGCATACGCCATTATGAGATGAATACATATCTGAAAGCTCTCCTCTTTAGGAAAAAAATATTTTGAAGAGTTTTCACAAACCCCAAAAGACAAGACAAGTTAAGAATCAATAGAAAAATCAATTATCATTGTACTTCGTTCATTTTTTTCTCTATACATGCAAAATAAATAAATTAAATGTTGATAATAATGCAATTATCCGTATACGATCAGCAAAATTTCATATAAAATGATACTGAAAAAAGAGAAAAAGGTGACGTTTTGACATAATAAACAGGTATAAGATCAATTGTTTTTGGTCAAATAAAATTAATTTCTTGATGTTCAACAACTGAAATATAGAGAAAAGGGGATGAAATCTTGTACAATAAAAATACGAGTGAAGAAGAGGAAAATTCGAGATAGTAAGTAATGTATGCTATGTTAATTTTTTTGTTTTATAATACTTTTAAAAAGCCCAACGGACATGATTAATACAATTAACAGATCATAATGGTACACGAAAGAATATCATGAAATGACATAAATATTAACATCTGAAGAAATGAAGTAAATAAAGTAATATTAAAAAGTTATTAAAATATACACGAGAGAGAGAGAGAGAGAGAGAGAGAGAGAGAGAGAGAGAGAGAGAGAGAGAGAGAGAGAGAGAGAGATGAATGTGAATTTGTCTCACAATCTTATGGCAACATGCGGTAATTTTATTACAGCAGAACTGAAACAGAACATTATTAGATTTTACATGTAAATATTCTACACACGGCAACGTATTTTCTTTTTTTTTTAAATGGCGGGATGAGGTCGTTGGGAGAAATTATTTACACATGCAGATTTACCCTTTATATGAATCTGGCCAAAGTACAAAAAATCGTCACGTTTCTTTTAAGCAACATCACATTGTCTAGTTCACGAGTCATTTTTTTTTTTTACACGTGCAGTAAATTATAATAGTACCTACAGTAATTTTTCACTCTTTCATTACACATAGTTACACTTTTTTCCCTGTCGCTTACTTGCTTATTATGTGTACATGTGTATAGAAGGTGCAACAAATAAGGCTCCAGCAATCTATAGCAAATCTTTTTTCTCTAAAAAGAAACTTTAAAAAAAAGGACAAATCTAGGATATTTTTATACAGAGATAATCAATTCAATTGTTTTACAAAAAAAACAAAAAAACAAAACAAAACAAAACAAAACAAAAACCAAAAAAAAAAAAAAAACCCACACATACCTTTATGGATATTACTACTGGTGTTTGTTCAAAATTCAATAATTTAACTTTACATGGAGATTATCTTTTTATATCGGCATTCTACAACTATATGTATTTCATTTGTATAGTTTAGATGTATATTTAGATGACCTTGGTTAGTAGTGATATGCAATTGTAGTCTCTGAAATTGCTCGTGGAATATGATTTCGATGTCAAAGAGAGAGAGAGAGAGAACACGAATAAACAATTCCATATGGATATCTCTATTTTATCGTTATGTCCTAATTAAAAAAAAAATACAACATAAAGAAATCATAAAACATCATATAAACTTGCAAATATACATAGAAAAGAAATACTCCAATATTTCCATTAAATATTGAAATTAACTTTCCTTCTTCTTTGGAACTCAAAAAATCGCTCTGCAATTTACATGTATGTTTAAAAAGAGAAACTTCATATCGATATTTCATATTCTTATTCGCTTTTTAAAGAACAAATGTTAAGATACACAGATATCGACAAGTTTTCCAACACACCTACTATTACGCATTTCTTGCAATGTATTTGCAAGAGTTAGGTAAAATTTAATTTCAAAGTATTGTTTCAGCAAATGGCGACCAAATGCCAGTCAACAAAATCAGAGTATCTCCCATAAGATTTTCCTAGTTCTCGTAGACAGTATTATGGATTTGCACATACGCAAATCACTGCTGTATTGTGTACAAGAGATACATGTACCATTAATCCAATATTTTTAGAGAATCCTCGGTCAATCTAAATATATTTTTCCTACGCTTTCCACATTGATTTCTCTTTGTGATTGATAAAATTGATAAAAGAAATCTGTTAATTTTTTTGTTAAATGATAAACAAAACTTTATTAGAATATAAGAGTGCACAATGAGACATTTGCTCTTATAAATATTGTTTTGGATGACCTAAATACTGCCTCTTGCATTTATTTTTCATTGTTTAGAAAATGTCAGCCTCAATTTGCAAATACAAAATATCTTCATTTGCACGTCCTTTTTAGAAGAGCTTTTGCACTTCGAGGATATACCAGGTTGCACTGTTTTTGAAAGATGGGTGGAGCGCCAGATAAAAGAAAACTTACCTGAAAAATCTCTGTTCACAGTGTGACGGATAACGCAGGTGTTGGATTAGATTGTTTCCACTGTATTCAAAAACAAAAAAAAGTGAAAAAAAGTAATGTTCAGACGGACTCAAAGGAAAGAACGTAGTAGACTAGACTACTTTTAAGGTCCCTCTTTTGGTACCTGATTCAGGGGTCTCTTTTAGAATGAGACAACAGTTTATAAATAAAAAAAAGTTTTTTTTATCACCCTGCCACTAAACGAGTACTGGTTCTAAGTTATGGGTATATATGGTAAGAAAATAGGTCAATTTACGAATTTTCTAATTTCGAGAATTTTTTAAATCGATTTTATGACACATTTTGTTTCAGAAAACATAGAGCACATACAAGCTTGCCTATATCTACCGAATTTATACATTTCATAAACGAGTATCAGATGCGTTTTATAAAAAAAAAAATCAGATAGGCAAGCTTGTGCTCAGTGTTTTCCGAAGAGAAAAGTATCTCAAATACATGTATGACGAAATTCCACCAGAATTGAGAGAATTCGAGATAATGTCATTTTTCTGCATCTTGTTGTGGCGTAAGCTTTGAATCAAAATTAGTGCTGGTTTTGAAACAAGTATAATTTATATTCTTAAATACAAACTAGATTTAACAGTGTTCTGATTTTCACATCAAATTAAGGGCCAGAATCGGCCAATACCATACCTTGTTCTTTATAGACATTTTTGAGATTGTGCAAAATAGACACAAATTTCTCACAATTCAATGAAATATTCAACCCTAAGAATCTTAATGTTGACAGAACGAGTAAAAATGTAAACAAAAGAAGATGAAAATTTATTTTTCTTGAGCCGTCTTTATTTCTAAAATATCCCCAGGGAAAACTGAGTCTTCATGAAATTTAAAATTAAATTTTATATGGCATCTACTGATTGAATGTTAATTAAAATTCACAAGCAAAATACACTGTATAACTTAAAGTCGATACTATGACGTATGTAGGAGAAAAGTTGAAACGGGGGTCTCCCCTCGCATCGGAATGAATAAGTTCTTATGCCACCCGAATGGGTCATGATTTTTCTTCTTTTTTTTAAACTGCCTTAATGTTTATGAAAATCTATTTATAACAAGAATTACGAATAACTATGTGTGTGAAATCACATTTCTTTCTGGTTATTAAATGTTAGAATATTTTACGTCATCATCATCGCGATTATTATTTGAATTTATTATATCTTTATGCTCCCCCACTTTGCCTGCTGTGAGATTTGAGATGTCCACTTATTTTTTTTTGTACCCGTAATCGAAGATTCGGGAGTATATAGGTTTTGCCATGTCCGTCCGTCTGTCTCTCTGTTTGTTCACAAAAAAACTTCCTTATGACAAGACTTTTCTTTGGGTTTCACCAAATTTGACATTTTGACCTTGGAGTTTGACACACCTTTACAAAACAAAAAAACACTAAACTTTTACTTTGGCCATAACTTTTGAACGGTTGGTGCTAGGACTTTCATAATTTATAATTATATATGTATTCTTTATGACAAGTAAATCCATTGGATATCAAGTAAATCCATTGGATATCAAGTAAATCCATTGGATATCAAGTAAATCCATTGGATACCAACTCAACGTTGAAATTTATACCTTGACCTTGAAGATTGACCTACTTAAAAAAACTTTAACCTTAAACTGTTCATAACTTTTGAACGGTAAGGGCTAGGGCTTTCATACTTCACAAATGTAATCCTTTTGACAACACCTTTCATTGAATACCAACAACGTTGACATCTTGACCACTTTGGGTACCAACATATTTGATTTGCAATTGAGAAAGTTTAACCTTTGTTATGTTGCCATACAGAGGGAATCAGTGTTTCAAAAATACACAATGTTTTTTCCAAGATGCAAGAACATCACAATTCAATCGTTTTGATCCCCCACTTTAAAAAAATTTCGAAGAAAACTGCACTATAAACTTACGGTTCAGAACACCATAGCTTTAAGTCTTCTCCGACATTCCCATACCTATTCAAAGGATCTGTTATAAATAAAATGAAATATTATATAATAAAGCTACAATTTATAAAAGAAAAGTTAAATAGAATACAACGATGCAAGGAAAACATAAAAAGTCAGTCACATTTATTTCTTGAAAGAAAACGCGTCTCCAGGAAAAACAAAAACGTTAGAATACAAGAGGCACAGGGGCCACATCGCTCATCTGAGCAACTGGTAAAAGTAAAAATTTATTCATGATTGAAAAGTTTAATTAAATATCATATGATCATATGAACAAATTTACGTCACCTTTTTGATGCTTTATTATTGATGATCAATTAGGACTTTGTTGTTCTTGTGAAGAATTTTTCTCTGTAATCCTACTTAAAACTGATCATCCAATTTGGCCCAACCTTTGCCATAGGGGTCATGATTTGAACAAACTTGAAGCTACACTTCCAGAGGATACTTCTTTATAACTACTTGCTGTTCTTGAGAAGAAGATTTTTTCTATATATTCTTATGTTAAACTTTGATCCCATATTGTGGACCCACCCTACCCTAGGGGGGGGGGGTGTCATGATTTGAAAAAAATTGAATCTTTTGTACCAGAGGATGCTTCCACATGAATTCTATCTTTCCTGGCCCTGTGGTTCTTGAGAAGAAGATTTTTCCTGTA